CACCCATATTTAAAGCTAAATCGTGGAAAAGCAATGCTCAGTGAGCTTTCCCAAGATCTCTCTACCTGTTTCTGAGCATGTACCTGACTTTCTCCTTCCTCTCTTCTATTTTCCTCCCGGGCCTCCACCACCCACTTTCTGTCTCCTCTTCTCTCTCTTTCCCAGGGCCTTCCTGCTCTCTTGGTCTCCTCTCCTCTTCTTTCAACCTTGGAGTAACCCAGCTGTCTCCTATTCTGTGTCCTCCACCCTGCTGTGATTCTTAATGAAATAAATTTCAGGAAGTCTACTTATTGGATCCATGACAAGTGCATAATTTATAGGAGCAGCTGGGCCCTTCACAGCACAGGACAATCCTCTTATTCTTCCTCCGTATGCTCCTCGTCCACTTCCCTTCTACCTTGGCCTTCTCCTACTCCTCTGGGAGACACTGGCTCTGATTCTTTAGGCCCTTTCTTCCATTTGTTTCTCCTATTTTCTTTCGGGGTAATAAGAGAGTCTCCCTTTCCTAAGGTATATCTCAGAAGTCATCGCATCTTACTTATTACACTTGGAGAGACCTCTCAAAGGATGCTCTGAACTCCTAAGTCAAGGAATCAGTGCCTCTCATCTGCAAAATTATACTAGGTGGCCTGCCCATTGGCACTCTCTTTTTTCACACTGCCACCAAAATCAGGATTAGCATTAGAGGTAGTATGTTTACTTAATCACGTCTCAACTTTAAAATTAAGAGACTTTATATTTTAAGTTTATCAGAAGTTTTCTTTTTTCTTCTTCTTATGCTGGTGGCCTTGATTAGAATTTTTGCAGTGATTCTTCATGGCTGCTGGATTTTCTGTGACTTAATGGAAGGAGAAAGGAGTGATTTCCTAACAATGGTTATGAGAATGTTTGTCAACACAAGAGGGGCAGCGTTTTTGTTTATGAGTCTGGGGCTAAACAAATCTGACTTCCCCAGGATTATGTGTCCTTCTCAGATCATATATAAATGGTTAGCTATTTTTAACAGCGTAAGTGGAGAGGTAGAACATTTGGGAAGTATCTGAAAGACTCTTTGACCGTCAGTACCTTTCAAGGCTTCAAGAATAACCCTTTCTATGCTCAACTGTAGTGGTCACTAAAACGTTAATTTTCCTATCAGTGCGCTGTACTTATGTGTATTGCATCAGAGAATAGTAGTTAAATGTGTGGTGTGTGGGCTTTAGGGGTAGATGGGTTAGGCTTAAAACCCAGTTTTACTGTGTGACTATGGATACGTTACTTAACTTCTCTGTGCCTTAGTTCCACCACTTATAAAATAGGAATACAATTGTCAATTATCATCATAGGATATTTTTAAGGATTAAAGATGATGATCTTTGTATGATGTGAACAGTGCTAAGTATATAAGAAGTTATGTGTTATCATCATGGTTAGCTCTATATGTTGTTTGCATTTTTCCAACTAAATTGGAGAACTGGAAGTCAACCATTTACATCATTAATCAAATACAAAACAAATGCATACAAAGAGTTTGGGGAAAGTTGCTTAAATTTATACAGCATGTTCTTTTCATACCATTAAGGCATTTATCATTGGTATTCAAATATCAATAAATACTAACATGTCATTGGGTCTTAGATGGAGTTTAATATTTTTTTCATTAAGTCTACAGTGTTTTACAAATAAAAAGTTATTAACAAATGATAAGTGAATACATGTAAATTATTTCCATAAGGCACAATTTTGATTAAAAATATAACATACATAAATATGTAGTTAAATATGCTGGATATAAAACAGTGTTTGCAAAATTTACTTCTTAAGAAATACATATGCTTATATTGAATTTAGAGAGAGAGAAAGGGAGAGGGAGAGAGATATAGAAACATACATCAGCTGCCTTTTGCAGGCCCCCTACTGGGGATGGAGCCCAAGTGCCTTCACCAGAAATCGAACCCGTGACCTCTTGGTACATGAGACAGTGCTAAACCAAATGAGACACTCCAAAATTTACCTCATTCATATCATTAAATAAATAAACAAACAAATAAATAAATAAATAAATAAATAAATAAATAAATAAAGGAAGTGTCAAGTTTTCTGAATGTACTTAATGGTATTTGCCCTAAATGTACATTTCAAAACACTCAGATTATGAGTTAATGCATTTGCAAAGTCGTTCTGAGTGGGGTTGCATATCGCTTATGTGGCAAATGAAAAATGCAGAGCAGAGAGGAGTTCAAACCTACTGAGTACCAATGGAACTTTTTTTAATGGCTTCCCTTGCTTCCTCCTCTCTCTTAATGGAATATCCTCCCAATCAAACAATACAAAAATGTTAGGGATCAGAATTACAGAATCACTTCATTTGGAGACTGGAATGAAAAATAAAAAGATCATTAAATCCAGCTCTCTTATGTTATATATGAGAAAACTGAGGCCAGTAGCATTGGACTCGATTAAGACTTGTTTTCAAAACAACAGCATGCATGCCCTTTACTATGTTATTCATTCTAGTTTTATCATTTATTTTCATGCTGTTCAACTGACCACAATTCAAAATACCATTGTGCTCCCAACACCACGTGTTTGGATTCAGTCCTTTCTATATGGGTTCCTCCACAGGACCATCCGGTTCTTGTCAGGAATTTTCCTTTGTGCTATCAAAGCCAGGGGCTGGTGCTTTTCCTCTGAGCATTTTTAAAGAGAATTTATCATGTAACATCTAGGGCCAGAACACAATCTTTATGGTATATATTTTACAGATATTTTCTTTTTGGATTTTACTTTCATCTACGAGAAAACCCTTTGCAAATATTTCACATAAAATATTCCATTAATTAGCTCATGTCAAGAAGTATTACTTGGTAATGTGTATTCCTGTTTGGGTCCATTGAAATATTTCCCTGAACTGCTAATAACTCATTTATTTTCCAATTAAACTTAAATACAATTTTGAAATGTATTGGCTAATTTTTAAAATATATATATATATATATATATATATATATATATATATATAATTTTTATTTATTTATTTATTTATTTATTTTTACAGAGAGGAAGGGAGAGGGATTGAGAGCTAGAAACATTGATAAGAGAGAAACACTAATCAGCTGCTGCCTCCTGCACACCCCCTACTGGGGATGTGCTCTCAATCATGGTACATGCCCTTGACTGGAATCAAACCTGGGACACTTCAGTTCGCAGGCCAAGGCGCTCCATCCACTGAGCCAAACCAGTCAGGACACTGGCTAAATGTTTGATGCATTCAAGCCACGAAAACAAGTTTTTCAATAAAGGTAGTATTTAAGAAAGTCCCAACCGATATACTTAAGGTACTTCCTAGAGATGCTTGTGACTAATCATTGTAACCTAAAGACATTAAGATTGGTCATAAAAACCCCAAACCATACCTTAATCACTTTGGAGTCTTAAGTGTCCTTTACATCTCTCCTACATAAAGCTGTATTTCATAGTCAACTTACTTCCAAAACGACACATTTTGAATTATTTGCAGTGCAGCCTCTGATCTTTAATGAGATGTACCGGACTGGAGAATTGGGGGAGCTTGGGCATCCAGTTAAATGGTGCTGAAGCCACGTGAACTATACACCAATCATTTTACTAGTCCCTCTTAGAAATCCTCACGTTGGTGTTACCAAGGACGCCGGTTTATTAAACTTTGATTGATTCATTAATAAAAATCAATATTGACATAAGGAAAAGACAGACTGGAAGGGCAGAAAGAGAGTTACCCCCCACCCCCACCCTCCCTCCTTTAAAAGCCTGGGCTCTCTCGGAGTAGCAGGTTCCTGCCTGTGCGAGGAATCTGGTCTTGGTGCAGAAGCGCCGGGCAGAGCCAGGGCGTTCCCAGCGGGGACTGCCGGCTGCTTGGCACCTGCCAACACCTGGCTCCGGTTCTCGGGGACCCTAGAGGCAGACTTTTGGAATGGAGAGCTAGTCGACGGGTGGGCCTTAGGGCTGCAGGCGGGAGGCTCTGAGCGGTCGGAAGGGTTTCCTGTGTGTCAGCAACTTCACTTCGCCGAGATAGCCGGCGGAAGGGCGCAGGGAGCGCTCGCGGGCCAATCGCTCCCCGGCAGCCAGTCCCGGCCGGGCGCGCCCGAGTCCTCGCGGCCGGCCGACTCGGGTGGCAGCGGCGGCGGCGGCGGGGCAGCAGCGGGAGCGCCCCGGGCCACGGCGGACCCCCCCGATCCTAGAAGATCCCCCTCGGACTCAGAGGGCAGAAACCCCTTGCCGATCGCAGGAGGGTAGCCGGGCGGGCTCCGTGGAGGCACGCCCCTCGCCTCCGGCGGAGCGCCCGGGAGCCCAGACTCCGCCCACCCTCGCGGGGAGCCGATCTCCCGCCGGCCCTCCCTCCCGCACTCGGGACCTTGCGGGGCATCGAGGAGGAGGGTCGGGGAGCGGTCCCGACGGCGGCGAGCAGCCGCGATCCGATCCCAAAGCGCACGGGGCTGCAGCCGCCACGCGGGAGCGGCGCGGGCCCCGGAGTCGAGCTGCCCGCTTGCAAGGTGGGGAGGAGGAGGAGAAGGAGGAAGATGCCCACACGAAGTCGATCTCTCGGGCACAGAGGCTGGGGGACGCCCTCCCCACGCCGGAGGAGCGCGGCACCGTGAGTCTGGCTGGGTCTCCCTGAGCCCCAGGGCGCAGATCGGGGGAAAGTTGTCGGCGGCGGCGGCGGTGCCCCGCGCGCCCTCGTTGTGTAACCTCGGCGCTGCGAGCCGGGCCGGACGGGGAAGTTGTTGGCCCGCCCGCCGGCCCGCCAGCCCGGTTCGATCCCCAGCCTCGGGCGGGTTTCATGGCCCGCGGCGGCCGCGGGGCCGGAGCCGGCGTCCTGGGCGGACCCCCGCGCGCCCCCTCCCGCGGGGCCCCCCGGCGCCCGCTCCCTCCCGCGCGCCCCCTTCTCCGATGCGCGCTGCGCCCCTCGCCGCCGCCGCCGCCGCCCTCTCTCCGCCTTTCGCCCCTCGGAGCCTCCGCCTAAGGTCCGCCGGGACGCGAGCATGGCTGAGGGGCCGTGGTGGTCCGCGATCCCCAACGGGACGGACGCCGCCTTCCTGGCCGCCGCCGCCGCCGCGGGTCCGGGCTCCCCGTGGGGGGGCGCGAACAACAGCACGGTCGCCGCCGCCTCCACCACCGCCGCCGCCGCCGCGTTCCGCTGCTCGCTCACCAAGACGGGCTTCCAGTTCTTCTACCTGCCCATCGTGTACATCGTGGTGTTCATCGTGGGCTTCCTGGGCAACAGCGTGGCCATCTGGATGTTCGTGTTCCACATGAAGCCCTGGAGCGGCATCTCGGTGTACATGTTCAACTTGGCCCTGGCCGATTTCTTGTACGTGCTCACGCTGCCCGCGCTCATCTTCTACTACTTCAACAAGACCGACTGGGTCTTCGGCGACGCCATGTGTAAGCTGCAGCGCTTCATCTTCCACGTGAACCTCTACGGCAGCATCCTCTTCCTCACCTGCATCAGCGCGCACCGCTACAGCGGCGTGGTGTACCCGCTGCAGTCGCTGGGCCGGCTCAAGAAGCGCAACGCCGTGTACATCAGCGTGCTCGTGTGGCTCATCGTGGTCCTGGGCATCTCCCCCATCCTCTTCTACTCGGGCACGGGGCTCCGCAAGAATAAGACCCTCACCTGCTACGACACCACCACCGACGAGTACCTGCGGAGCTACTTCATCTACAGCATGTGCACCACCGTGGCCATGTTCTGCATCCCCCTCGTGCTGATCCTGGGCTGCTACGGCCTGATCGTGAGGGCCCTGATCTACAAGGACCTGGACAACTCGCCCCTGCGGAGGAAGTCCATCTACCTGGTGATCATCGTGCTCACGGTGTTCGGCGTGTCCTACATCCCCTTCCACGTCATGAAGACGATGAATCTGCGTGCCCGGCTGGACTTTCAGACCCCGGAGATGTGCGCTTTCAACGACAGGGTGTACGCCACCTACCAGGTGACCAGAGGCCTGGCCAGCCTCAACAGCTGCGTGGATCCGATCCTCTACTTCTTGGCGGGGGACACTTTCCGAAGGAGGCTCTCCCGGGCCACCAGGAAGGCTTCCCGGAGGAGCGAGGCCAATCTGCAGTCCAAGAGTGAGGACATGACCCTCAACATTTTGTCCGAGTTCAAGCAGAATGGAGACACGAGCTTGTGAAGACGCGAGAAATCCCCACCTGCCCTGCTGTCGGAACATGGTAGGATGCTTGCTAAGAGCCACGTGCTTGGTCCCCCGCTTTTAAGTTTCTAAAAGTTTAGAGAGAAAAATCAAACCCAGAACTTAGTGAGTTAAAAAAAAAAAAAATGTCCACACTCACACTTAGCTTGTTTGGGTTTGCTCTCAAGGCTTCCCTTCTTTCTCACCAGAAGCATGCGTAATAAAAAAGATACTAGCCCAGTTAAACATTCACCTGCTCTTCTGCCTTTAGCATTTACAAGCTTTCCTGTTTAAAGTGCACTTGAGTCCTGGAGCTTTTGTGCTGTTAGTAGTTTCTCCAGGAAAACTGATGACCTGGAACTTGAGCTGGTGATGCATCCAGACTTTAATGTTTTTAATGATCCATGGTGGCAACAAGTTGAAGCTCCACTTTTTAAAGTTAGCCCTGGTGTATAGCAAAACACGAAATATGATGCATTCGGTATCAAATGAACAGCAGTCTCAGCTGGGTGTCAGTTCTGGGCCTGTCGGGCACAGGTGCTAGCTAAGTTTCTTAGAGACTTGAATGGAAAAGTAAAGCCAGTGAATTTAAAAGCCTAAAGAGTCATTTCCCAATTTTTTTTTTTTCCAGAAAACTGCTCATGCTATGTTGGGTGCTAAGTGTTTGATGATGGATAACCCCCAAAAATGCATACACACTTTAACACCTGAGAGCTATACATTCTATTTTGAAATTGAAGTATATTTTAATCAATACTGCCTTCAAAGTGTGTATACATTTTGCGGGGAGGAGACTCTGTATTATCTTATGAGAAATGCATTCAAAATAGTCAAAGTGCTTGTACTTTCCTTATAAACACCACGAACTCTGTTAGACTTCCTGTGGCAAAGACATTGACTTGCATCACTGCTGTGCGATGCCTCAGGAGTTTCTGCTCCAGTACAAATGCTCCCTCACATCTGTAAAAACAGTTTTGAAAAATCACAGATAGATCACAGACTAAAGCTGAATAACTGTTAGCAAGCTGAGGGTTGTTGAGCAGGAGGGTGGTATTATCAGAGGGACAGTGGTTGACAGTCGATCACAATGCATAGCCTGCAAGCATGTTCTCAGATGTATGAGGCAGCAGGAGACATTTTTAGATTAACAGTTTTAATTAAAAATCTTGGTTTAAAGATACTTTCTTTTGCTTCTTTGAAATGTTGGGAAACATTAAATGCAATATGAAGTCAGAATTCATGTAGGTTGTGTGGAGAGAATGAGAAGCTACAATCCTTTACTAGATCTTATATCCCCCTACTTAAAGGAGAAAAACACACACACACACACACACACACACACACACACAAAAACAAAACCCTTGAACTATATGAGAAAGGGAAGTAAGGAGAATGAAATGTAAGTACTTAAGGAACCACAGCAGTGAAAAGTAAGTTGTAGAAATGACTACTGGTAATCATATTACTAATAGTTTGTAAGAGAATACCACTGCTTTACATTTTGTTCTCTACTAAGCATTAATGAGAAATCTGTGAAATAATTCAATCATTTTAATGGCGATTTTCAATGAATATTGACTTGCTGCATTTCTAGCCCTTAAAAAGCCTTAATATCTATATAATGTAGAATAATGGGGTGAGGTGACCCAATTTATGGCTCCCAACAAATAAATCCAGTAGCAAAGGAATGTTTAATTGTGAAAACCAGTCCCAATAAAGCCAACAGCAGAAGCAGAGTCTGCAGCTCCTGGTGGAATAACTTGTTTAAAATCACTGTGTACGTAAATCACTGGGTTTGTGCCTTAAGCACCTGTGGGACATAGTGACAGGTAAGTTGGGGATTGCCTTCAGTTTGTGCAATAACCGGATGGGTTACAAATTTCTGAGACCTTCAGTTTCTTCTTAAGAGTTACCTCAGTTTATCCAGTCTCAGGCCATTATGACCACGGAAGAAAAGCTGTGTGTAGCTTCCTAAAAAGTGGATCTTTTTTGCATGTTCAGTGTGAATGCACAGAATTCTTGTAGAAGAAACCTTTTAGATATCTTACCCTGTACCTACTCATTTTGAGGAAGGAAAGGGCTAGCTGGGTTCTCTCTTGGTTAGGATCCTACAGTATTCTCTGGAGCCCTTCAGAAAGAAGCCTAACTGATGTTATGACTGTGCTGTTCCTTTCAAACATCACGCTCAGCGAGATCAGATCAGTATCACGAAATTGAACAAAATGGAAATTTCAAAGCCTGTACCATCTTTAAACTCAGAGGCTGTTGGCACACATCTCTGTCGTATTTCCTCATCATTTACTTTAGTTGTTTTTTTTTTTTTTTTTCCTTTTAGGTCTCAGGCTGTCCAGCTGATTTACAGTGTGCGTTACATACATTGTTTCAGCTTCTGGAGAACTTTATTTCGGAGTGTGGGTCCATGGAGAAGGTGGACAGTGACTAGAAATGCCCTTTTACTCCATGGCATGTTTCTTTTTTTTCCAGAGTGTTTCTTCTTTAGCTTCGTACATCCCGCAGTAGACAATGGTGGCATGTGGATGCATGTCCAATAATAGCAAGAATGATCTCCCTGACTCCTTCCAGGCAAAAAGAGCTTTCTGGGAAGAGTCTGTGTGTGCTAATGGTGACGTGAGCGTCAGGATGAAAGGGTGATCTTACCATCTGATTCTTGACCTATGATGATATGAATAAGTATTTTAATAAATGCAGAAGTGTGTTGGCATTTTGAGGAAAGAATTGCTAAAATTAGGGGATTTATCAGTTAACTGAATTTCACAATACAAAACTATTTTATGGCCAAGTTCAAGGTGTCTTATGGCACACAACTTACATCTTTGACTCTGAGGACGTGAACAAATTTGCATTGAAATGATAAAAAGACAAACCAAGAAGAGATACAGCTTGAGTGTAGAATTCAGAGTTATAACCATGGCATTGCCATTCGGCCGGCTATGGAACTCTCGACCCTTTCAAGACCATTCTTTGGAATAAAAAGTTTGGATAACAGCTCTCTGTTGGGACTGTGGAAACATTAAGACTACAGACAGACAGCGATGTATGAAATCTTCTACTGTACAGAATTCTTCAATTCCAGTCGTTGGCTAAAAATTCTTACGAAGTTCAATTGTGATGTGTCCTATAAGTTTTCTCATCTAGGCTGGCAGTACACTACGCTGCCTTTGGATACAAAAGAGAAGTGCTTAGAGCTGCTGGAATTGGACTGGAGACAATAAAGATGTGTAACTAGTAAGAGATCTATTGAAGCTTTAATTTTGCTGGTCAAATTGTAGCTATCGTAGTATTTATTAATGAAGCTTACAGTTCTTCAGTTGTACAGATTGAAAGACTCTCTTGAAAGATCCCACATACTGATGTAAATTATATTTATTACAATGTACAATATTAATGTTGCACTGGTATCTTTGCATAATAAATGATACATACATAAAATGAATTATTGTATATTATGATGCTTTTCAAATATTAGTATCGACATTTTTGCCTTTAGATTTTTTTAATTTAAATAGAGAAATCTGTTTTGTGATATAATTGATTTACTCTAGATAATCTTTTGCACATTTAACTTTTTATTTAGGGTTCTTTCTATACAGACACAATTTGGTGTCCAACTATATTAGCTCAATAGCAAATAGAAAACATCTGGGTCTGTATATAAAATTATAGAAAAGTTGATATTATCTTTTCAGGACATTTAGAATTATACCCTCAAATATGAGCAGAGCTTCTATTTCCCAATGCAATGCTTGTCCTAACTTCAAAGTAGATTCACTTAGAAGTCTGATGGGTTGGGCACTATTGAAGCAGCATTAGAATTTAGAGAAAAACTTAAGGAAGATGGGAGAGAAAACGACAGCTGGTGTAATCTGTTACTGTGATTCTTTTTAAGGTGAAATAGTATAATCTTAATTTCTCTGAGACAGAGCTTCTAAGTAACACACTACCAGCAAGTTTGACATTGCTAATCATTTTAATGTTTCAGTTTTTCAGTTGAGAACTTTAATTCTAAGTGTTAATAGTGATAACTGTATTATATTTGGCTGCTGAATTCTGTTACATTTTTATTCTGTTGTACATTGTATTATACATGCCATTACAAATTAATATGAAGGGGGATATACGTGACATATCGAAATTTGTGAATTTAAATTGTAGTCTGTGCTTTTGCAAAAATGTTTATTTTTATATTATCTGTGACTTTATATAGATAATTGAATTGGGTTTCCTTGTGATTAATAGTGATATTGAATGAGCAGTATGGAAACAGTGTTACTTGACTTTTTGAGCTTTCTCAGGTTTATCTAAATCAATGGTAGCTTAACAAATTCCAAACTAATTGTGCACAATTGTGTTTCTAATAAAAGGAATGTACATTTCCTATACATTTGCATGCAGGAAAGTACAATGTTGTGTATGTGTTTGTGTGTACATGTGCGTGCGTGTGTGTGTGTGTGTGTGTGTGTGTGTGTCTAAGGCATGGCAGCCAATTTTGCATCTGCTATTGATAATAACAGCAGAGCCTTGATATCATTGTACCTATCATAGGCAATTAAAACTGAAAAGTCTCAATAAAACTATGAAATGTGGTCTGCTGGCTTCTATGTTATCATAGTGTTAATACTCACAGGTTTCCCCACATTTTGACATGTACTGTTATACCACCTGGCAAATACTATAGGATGTATAGAATTAATGCATGCATTTCTTAAGGGGTAGCCTGAACTGTAATATAGCAAAGTGTTAAAGAATGAATCCTGGTACAAGATAATTGGTGAGATTACCATTATTTGAGACGATTCATAGGAATGTGACCTAATCTTTGAGAAAAATATGAAATGCAACCTTAGTAAATATTTCCCATACTAGAGTCCTCTATTTCAAATATTAGCTGTAACATTTTCTCTAGTTTGTAATATTTGGGGTACTCATACTAAGAACCGTTTGTGGTGTCTGTTTATTAGTCTACATTGCCTGCTTCTCGC